TTGTAAGAAAACACATTCTGTGGCCCAAATTCTCTGATCTGGCTGAACTGTGTTTGGCACAGGACTCGGGAGTAAGGGTATAGTTGGTTTAGACAATAGCCAGTTTCATCCCTGGTGGAAGTTAGAGCAGCCTTAGAGATCCTATAAATCATGCCTGGGTGCCTAAGGCCAGAAGAGGCCATTCTAGAAGATGTGGATCTAGAGAGTGCAGTAACATGCTGACTCTAGACATACCCTCTCTGTGGAGGGCCAGGAGAAGGGCCGGTATAGAATTATTGCAGCAGCTCTGGGTCACTCAGGGATTTCCCTTATGTGAAACAGTGCCAATGGCCAGCAACATACCCCAAAATCTGTCCTCTATTTTGGCATTGTATTTTAATATTAACCAGTCCCTGCTTCCTGATGACAAAGGACCTCTGCTGCTCAGAGCTATCTTTCTCACCAATTTTATCCTCTTTACAATGACACCCAGCCACTGATTCTTTTTATGTAGATATATACAATAACATTCTGAGGCATTTGCCTGCTAAATTGATTTCTCTGATCTTTAGTTGATTGATGGAGAGACACCTCTAAGTGCTTGTGTTTCCTCCAATCATAGGGGACCCTGACTTCAATGGCTCAAGTGGGCTTTAATTTTTGATCAGGATTAAAAATCCTGTACCTGCCACCTGTATGCTTGCATAGTCCCTGAACTGCCATGTTTGATATAATTCACAGAAGCATTTCATCTGGGAGGGAGGAGTTCCAGGAATTATGTAGCTGAGTTATTCAAACAGTCTATCTAGCTTTACTAAAAGCTGCTGGGTACTATTCCACAGGCAGCATCACTAGAAATAGTGCCATAACAGTGCAGTTAATTCTGGCTGGAAATGGTGCTGGGTTGCAAAATTCCAGAGCTATAACATACTGGTCACTCCAAGGGCAAACTCGGAAGAACATCATAAATAGGCTCAGGCAAAATAGACCTACTGATCTGCACATTAGCCATCCAACTGCTTTGTGACACGTGCTATTCCCCTGCTCGTTTCTGGGTCCTCTTTAGTCTTTCTACAAATTGTTTCTTCTCAGTCCCTTAAAATTTCCTCTGAGGGCTTTCCAGTCTTTCCTCTGTGCTCTCCACTCTATCTGATCTTCATCCAAGTATCCAGCAATGCAATATACCTGGGCATGAAACCGTCAGCCCTTAGGAAACTCCAGCTAGTACAGAACTAAGCAACAACTCCTCAACAACATAGGCTACTGCGAGCACATCAGACTTGTCCTTCACTCTTTATATTGGCTTTCCATAGAACACTAAGTCAAGTTATAGGTCTTGGTCCTTACCTGCAAGGCTTCCAATGACTGAGTCCAGGATATCTCAAAGATTATCTGATGTTCCTGCATGAGAACTGTCATTGGCAACTCCACTCCTCAGGCACAATTATACCTTCGATTACAAGATAAAACTCACTCAAGAGGCAGAGGTTTCTCGAGAGCTGGTCTAAGACTGTGGAATTAGCTTTGACAGTAACTAAGGACTATTACAAACCTCACCATCTTCCATCCAAATGCAAGGAGTGTTTCTTCTATCTGCCTTCTCTAATATAAACACAGAGCAGCATGTACATGATATAATAAAATAAAAAACAAACAAGCAAAAAATAACTTACCAAACCAAAACACTCTGGTGCACACACAGTTCTCCCTCAGGGAGAGGATGAGAGCAAGAACAAACCACACTTGACAGATGTTAGTCGTAGTGCTTAATGCACAACTGGAAGGTGCTCAGATACTACGGTGATGAGATAGTCAAAGAATTAGAATAGAACTAGTCATTTCAGATCTCCCTAAAGTCACAGTTGGCCACTTTATTTTCCCTTGCCGACCTCCCTTCAGCTCCGTCTTTCAGAAACCTGTGTGTTCCTTCCTCCTACCCCTCCCCTTGGCTAATCAAGGCTCCTTTAATGGTTCCTTGCTATTCAGATAATTTGTGATTCCCCCTGCCTCTGACCATTAGGTGCCATATTAATTTCTTTCATCTCTGACATGTTATGGAAATTAGCAAGCCTTTCAGCGTGGGCAAATGTATTGTTTTTATGAAACTGATCTCAACTCCTTACTGCTTAGACATTCTCAATACCCTATTTGCCCCATATCTTAAGTATTCTTAATACCCTATTTGTGCCATATCTTTTTTTTAGACCATTTTTTTGGTGCTGCTTTATTCTTAAAATAATGCCAAGCGCTCTACTCCCTGCATTGTTTGTGCAATGTCTCTCTGATCATAAATTTTATAGATGGCTAATAGAATGCAAACACATTAGCAGTAACACACAGAAATCCTGATGCCACAGGGTAAATAGGAAATGCAACAACACATTTACAATTTTGACCAGTGAAATACCAACACTGCTCGTTGATCTCATTAAAGGCTAATCTACATTCTGAGGAAATAAAGTTCACTGAGATTTTAGATCCATAAAAACCAACATACAAAATCTACAGACTAAATTCATTTTAAAACAACTCAAATAGAAAAATAACCGATAAAGGAAGGCATGAAATTCAAGTTCTTCTACTCTCTATTAGACTCGAGTTAATAATTACTCTGTTATTGAACAATAACTTCCTTCCATGCCACAATTATATGTAAATCTCTTCTGCTCTGTTAAAATAACAGCATCAGCACACAGATTAATACCAATATTTTAATTTTTATTAATAAGTTTACTTGAGGAAAAGGGGTTGAGCAAAAGAAGTGAGAAAAGGGGGTTGGGATGCAGGATCAATAGCTTATTTGTATTCTCTTTATTCCTTTATCATAAAGGGAAGAGAGAGAGAGAACACAATTGCTAAGGCCAGGTCTACACTACACACTTACTTCAGTATAACTACATTGCTACCTCTGAGCAACTTAGGGCTGGTCTACCAGGGAGATCAATGCTGCTGCAATTGATGCAGCAGGGATTGATTTAGCGGGTCTAGTGAAGACATAGCTACCGGCTCTCGCAGAGGTGGAGTAATTAAGATGATGCCGATATAGTGTTTGTAATGTAGTCTTGCCCTGAGATCCTTTTGCCTCCTCTCTGCACCCTAAATGAAGACATACACGTTTAAATCACACCATTTCCATCTGGACACTTTTGAATCCAGACTTCATGGATGACTCTTCATAGGGACCTGAGCGCTTCACCCAACTCTGCAATAGACTGCGTGCCCACAGACAAGTCACGTAACTTCTCTGTTCCCAAGTTTCTTCATCTGTAAAATGGGAATAAATATATGCATGCATCCAACGAAGTGGGTATTCACCCACGAAGCTCATGCTCCAATAAGTCTGTTAGTCTATAAGGTGCCACAGGACTCTTTGCTGGAATAAATATAGTTATCCACCTTTGAACAATAGCTGGAAAGCACCTGTTAGGCACAAAGTACTGTGGTATTGGTAAGGATGATTGATGACAAAATAAGCATTCACACACTGCTAAATTAGTCAAGTACATCTACTCCAGTTTTACTTCTGGCAACACCAGAATGAATCTCACCGCCATTACCCTACAGGGAGCAGCAGCATTGAGTAAAATGGCAACACAACATAATTCATACATTAATCTCTCTTTTGGCTGGAATATGCATTTCTACTTGAGTCATTCTAGGCAAGAAAAGAAAATCTTTACTCTTCGGAAATATCTCTGTCTGATACAGTACAGAGTGGAGCTGAGCAAATAATTCCTAGGGAACAATTTGATAAATTAATTTTTTTTCTGTTGTGGAATATCCACAAATACATTGGGATTTCCTTGAATGCACTCGTTATTCAAATGTATTCAACAACTACATTTCCCAGTTTTTCCCTTTATGGCTCGATTATTGTGATTACATACGTTACATGAAGCCAGATCCTCAGCTGCTGTAAATCAGTATAGCTCCATTGATTTTATTTGTTTATTTTCATTATTCACTCACTCTTTCAGAGGCAATGAAACAACAAATTCGGAAGTTACAGTAGTTGTATAACTTATACTATTGTTTTATAACTAGGATGTACTGTACATATGTAGGGTTATGTCATAGTTTGGATCTAGTTTGTAAATAAATCTAGTTCTTCACAACATTTTTTCAATAACTTGGATGGTGGAACTAATATATACAAGTAGATGAGGCACTGTGCATACTGAGTTAACTGACCATCAATCATTGTAGAGAGTGCTGTCCGTTATATAAGATTTGATCCAAAGGCTACAATTGGAGCTAGCATGGGACAGCATAAGTGACAAAAGGAGATGAGCTGTTTGAGATTTTTTTTCCTCAGTCTGTACTACTAATTCAGGGAAAGGTGAGCAGACATTTTACAAAGCTAACATTTCCTATAGCAATGCAATATCTGGCTAGTCCATTTCATCCAAAGTCAGGCCTTCTGCTGTAAAACTACTCTTAAATGTGTTAAGAGAGACATGTTCTTAAGAGTCTTTCTAGTTTCCTTCTTGCGTGGAGATGCCTGGCACATTTCTGGAGCTTGACCAAGTGGCAATAATGTGGCCCTGGCTGCTATTCCTAGTTCCGTTATGTGACCTTGGGCAAGTCACTTCACCGTTCTCTGACTCAGATTCCTCATGGGCATAATGGGTGTATAATGATACCTCTGTAAAAAGCTTTGATCGCTATGGATGAAAAGTGCTTGGTATCATTATTTATGAAAAGATAAATCTTTAGGGAAAGAGACCTTCAGGCACTAAGCACTTTTGCCTGCTACAGATTTCTGAATCTGGGTCCTGATTGTCCAAAGTCTGTAAGCATGTGCTTTACTGTATATTTCAAATAATCAATTTTGTTTCTATCCAGTATCAGGATCTGTCTTAAATGCAGTCTCTTGTATTTAAATAATATTTTTATTGTGGGTTGCCTTCAAAAAGGACAAGCAATACAAAGTGAAACATATCAGTTAATCAATAACCTAGACAATCTGCAGTATATTAACAGCCCTCATCCCCAATCATTAGTAGTGAGATGCTCATTACCTGATTAACAAACAAAGAATGAATGAAGATGTTGATGTGGTTTTTATGGAGCTGTCTTTTTCTCTTGGATTCCTGCAGTATAAGGCAGTCAAATCTCAACATAATCTTCAGTGGCGTTTCTATAAAAAAAATAAAACCTTTTCTCGGTAAGACAATAGAATATAAAAGCCAATGTATGACTTTGAAGTAGCAGCTGCTGCCTACAGGGATCTTCACCTGCTCTTAATTAAATCAACATTAAGTCACAAGACCAGCCCCTTAGTAGGTGGGCTCAGGGGTGTGCAGTTTATAGGATCAGGCCCTTAACTTTGCCCATAGCTGTTAGAATAGGATGAAGCATAGAAGGATGATGGTAAGCAATCAGTGATTTGACAAGCTAACCTGCCTTGCTAACAATCGTATCATATACTTATGTAACGCACTGGTGAGTGTGCCATGTCCTTATCTAGTATCACCCAGAGTCCCAAAGGCTACTACTACTACTAGCTAATGGAGATGGTTTTTTGTTTAGTTTCTTATAACGCGCAAGGGGTACAGGCCTGTGCTTTAGAGCTAAAGATCCAATGTTCTAGCTACATTAGCAACCCATGGTGGGTCTTTATACCATTATGCTAAAACCTTGTTTTGGGTTAAGTTAAAACCTACTTCAGACTGATGCATAAACACACCCTTCATTTAAGATAGTTGTAAGAGACAGTTAAGGTGCCACACCTAAAACAAGGCCTAATAGAGTCTTCCAAGATATTAACACCATGTCAATGAGTATGGAGTATTGTGGGTATTGGGTATTGTGACCAGCTGGCTGTGGGAGAGAACACACAGAAACTGAGAACATGCAAGAATGGAGAGAGAGGCAGAGGCAAAAAGCAAGAAAGCCAAGCAGTAGCCTGTGAGCACAGTGTAACACTGGGAAAAATTAGAGAGAGAGAGGGCTTTTGAGGCGATTGGCTGAAGAGGTTTGGGGCTGTAAGCTAAGCAACTGCTCCTTCTGTTCTTAGTTCCCCCTGCATTTGGAAAAGCAGGACTTTGTACACTCCTTGTGAATCAACAAGATTGCATCAAGAGCATGCCAGACTCCAGCAATGTCTGCTTCCAACTGGAACATCTCCAGGGCCCTGAGCTTTGACTAGGCACTGGGGCTGAAAAGGGGCAACAATACTAACAACCCAATGCACCATACCACAGAGGAGGAAGATCATGCTGCACAATGTCTGGTCACTTTCTCCTTGGCCCCCCAACTTTTTTGACCTGGTCCATTGTCTGTGTAGAGCTTTTGCCAAGGCCCACACACAGCTAAGTATCATGTTGGGACAAACTTTTTCAAATAGCACCTTTCCCACCCAGCATACCCCTGCTGCAGCTTTTTCTGAAGTTCTTATTTCATGCACCCTGAACATCATGGAAAGCAAAGCTCAGTAAGGGTCAGATCCAAAGCCCACTGACTTCAATGTACTGTGAATCCATCTCTAAGTGATTTGCAGTAATCTAATGCTGCTGTTTACTCAAACAGGTGACTTATCTTGGTTTATTTAACTTGTTTTCCTTTTATTTATCTAAAATTGTCTATCAATAGAATCTGCCCACACAATTTTTCGTTTGAAGATTCCACTTGAGCAGCCATATTCCTAAATCTACCCACACACGAATGGATCAGAACAAACCACCCAGATACGTTCTTATATTTGTACCTGGTCTGAAGGAACTGTTAATGTCTGATGTCAATGTACATGTTGCAGTTTCTGTGCACATTTATGCATGAAATACCCACTTTTACATGTGCAAAAATTGTGATCAGAGTAAAAAACAATGGAGTTTTCATGAAACCTTTTAAAACATGCTTTTATTTCACTGAAATAAAGGGAAATTAATAGGGCTGTCAAGCAATTAAAAAAATTAATCGCGATTAATCGCCTGCTAAACAATAATAGAATACCATTTTTGAAATGTTTCTGATGTTTTCTACATTTTCAAATACATTGAGTTCAATTACAACACAGAATACAAAGTGTACAGTGCTCACTTTATATTTATTTTTATTACAAATATTTGCACTGTAAAAAACAAAAGAAATAGTATATTTCAATTCACCTAATACAAGTACTGCAGTGCAATCTCTTTATAATGAAAGTTGAACTTACAAATGTAGAATTATGTACAAAAAATAACTGCATTCAAAAATAAAACAACGTAAAACTTTAGAATCTACAAGTCCACTCAGTCCTACTTCAGCCAATCACTCAGACCAGTGGTTCCCAAACTTGTTCTGCCGCTTGTGCAGGGGAAGCGCCTGGCGGGGCGGGCCGGTTTGTTTACCTGCCGTGTCCACTGGTTAGGCCGATCACTGCTCCCAGTGGCCGCGGTTTGCTGCTCCAGGCCAGTATGTCCCTTGGCCCGCGCCTTTTCCACCCTGGAAGCAGTGGCCACTACGTCCCTCAGCCCACGCCTCTTCCAGCAGCTCCCATTGTCCTGGAGCAGCAAACCGCGGCCACTGGGTGCCGCGATCAGCTGAACTTGCAGATGCAACAAGTAAACTGGCCCAGCCCACCAGGGGCTTTCCCTGCACAAGCGGCGGAACAAGTTTGGGAACCACTGGCTCAGACAAGTTTGGTTACAATTTGCAGGAAATAATGCTGCCCAAGTCTTGTTTACCTGAAAGTGAGAACAGACGTTCACATGGCACTGTTGTAGCCGGCATCACAAGATATTTATGTACCAAAGATGCATATGTCCCTTCATGCTTCGACCACCTTTCCAGAATATACGCGTCCATGCTGATGACGGGTTCCAAACTATAACGATCCAAAGCAGAGAAGACCAATGCATGTTCATTTTCATCATCTGAGCCAGATGCCACCAGCAGAAGGTTGATTTTCTTTTTCGGTGGTTCGAGTTCTGTAGTTTCCACATGGAGTGTTGCTCTTTTAAGACATATGAAAGCAATCTCCACACCTCATCCCTCTCAGATTTTGGAAGGCACTTCAGATTCTTAAACCTTTGGTCGAGTGCTGTAACAATCCTTAGAAATATCATATTGTTACCTTCTTTTCGTTTTGTCAAATCTGCTGTGAAAGTGTTCATAAAACGAACATGTGCTGGGTCATCACCCAAGACTGCTATAACATGAAATATATGACAGAATGCAGGTAAAACAGAACAGAAGACATAAAATTCTCTCCCAAGGAGTTCAGTCACAAATTTAATTAGTTTTTTAACGAGTATCATCAGCATGGAAGCATGTCCTCTGGAATGGTGGCCAAAGCACGAAGGGGCATATGAATGTTTAGCATATCTGGCACATAAATACCTTGCAATGCCGGCCACAAGGTATTTGCCATGTGAATGCCTGTTCTCACTTTCAGGTGACATTGTAAATAAGAAGCAGTCAATAGTATCTCCCATAAATGTAAACAAACTTGTTTGTTTTAGCAATTGGCTGAACAGGAAGTAGGACTGAGTGGACTTGTAGGCTCTAAAGTTTTACATTGTTTTGTTTTTGAGTGCAGTTATGTAATAAAAAAAATCTTCATTTGTAAGTTACATTTTCATGATAAAGAGCTTGCACTACAGTGCTTGTATGAGGTTAATTGAAAAATACTATTTCTTTTATCATTTTTACAGTGCAAATATTTGTAATAAAAATAGTAATATAAAGTGAGCAATGTACACTTTGTATTCTGGTTTGTGATAGAAATCAATATATTTGAAAATGTAGAAAAACATCCAAAAATATTTAATAAAGTTCAATTGGTATTCTATTGTTTAACAATGCGATTAATCACGATAAATTTTTTTAATCACAGTTTATTTTTGTGAGTTAATCCTGTGAGTTAACTGTGATTAATTGACAGCCCTAGAAATTAACTTAAATGTGCAGCAGTGTTATTGTTTTGCCTGCTAGTGCCATGAATTTAAAGGAGGAATATTGTTTTGTATTTTTCCAAAACTCTACTCCTTTCCTTGCCTCTCACCTTACCTTCTTTTCTCTATGTCCTTATTTTCTTTCTAACAGTTTCTTTCATCACCTCTTTACTTTTCATCCCTTCTTCTTGCTCTGCTCCTTTTGTTTCACTATCAATTTATATTCCCTTCATCTGCTCCAATCCTATTGCTCTAACACCTGATCTTTTTTCCTTGTAGACATTCTTTTTCTCTGGGTATGTCTACACTACGAAATTAGGTTGATTTTTAGAAATTGATTTTAGACAGTCGATTGTGTATGTCCCCACTAAGCGCATTAAGTTGGCAGAGTGTGTCCTCAATACCGTGGCTAGCATCTACTTATGGAGTGATGCACTGTGGGTAGCTATCCCACAGTTCCTGCAGTCTCCCCTGCCCATTGGAATTCTGGGTTAAGTTCCCAATGCCTGATGAGGCAAAAACATTGTCGAGGGTGGATTTGGGTACATATCGTCAGTCGCCCCTCCCGCCCTCCCTCCGTGAAAGCAACGGCAGACAGTCGTTTTGCGCCATTTTTCCTGGGTTACCCATGCAGACGCCATACCATGGCAATCTTGGAGCCCACTCAGCTCACTGCTGCTCTTGTGAGCATTGTAAACACCTTGTACATTATCCTGGAGTATGTGCTGAACGGAGCTAAGAGACGTCAGCACGAGGACAATTGTGATGAGGACATGGACACAGACATTCCTGAAAGCACGGGCTGTGGCAATTGGGACATCATGGCAGCAGTGGGGCTGGTTGATACAGTGGAACGCCGATTCTGGGCCCAGCAAACAAGCACAGACTAGTGGGACCGCATAATGTTGCAGGTATGGGATGATTCCCAGTGGCTGCAAAACTTTCGCATGAGTAAGGCCACTTTCCTTGAACTTTGTGAATTGCTTTCCCCCACCTGAAGCACAGGAATAGCAAGATGAGACCTGCCCTGACAGTTGAGAAGACAGTGGCGATAGCCCTGTGGAAGCTTGCAACGCCTGACTGCTACCAGTCAGTTGGGAATCAATTTGGAGTGGGCAAGTCTACTGTGGGGACTGCTGTGATCCAAGTAGCCAAAGCAATCACTGACATTCTGTTATCAAGGGTAGTGACTCTGGGAAATGTGCAGGTCATACTGGATGGCTTTGCTGCAATGGGGTTCCCTAACTGTGGTGGGGTGATA